AAAACCTTCTAAACTGTGTGTCTGGGGACAGGGGAAGAGGACAGTTCTAAACAGGCAGCCACCTCTCGGCATCCTCAGGAAACGGAAGTGTAACTAACAGGTCAGCTAGGCAAGGGCTGCTCCTGAGGTGTGAGAAAGGCTTGTTTAAGGACAAACACTAAAAGAAGAAGGGAAAAAGCCAGTGCTGAGTTTTCTCCAGCGACTACTAACCAGTCCTGGGGTGTCCAGCCCTGGGGAGGACGGGCAAGTGGCCCCAAGCTCCCAGAGCATGACTCCTGAGCACACAGGGGATGGGTTAAGAAGGCCCGTGGCACTGCTGGCCGCCGCGCTCCTGCAGGCTCTTGATGGAATAGTGAGGTAAAGGCTCCCGCAAGCGACAAAAAACACCAAGCCAGCCAGAGAAAGGCCAGCACGTCTTGGATCCTACCCAATGTGACTGACGCTTCAGCAGGAGAAGAGCAAGGGCCACAGACAGTGTAAAGATCATGTGATGCCCCTCGGGGCAGGCGCAGCGGGGATAGAGGACAGCGGAAGGGAGAGGAGACAAGCCACTGACACAGTGGAGTCACCTAAGGTGGCACCCTCCTCGTGGCAAGTGAGAAGCTGGGGCAGACTCACGCGTCCTCCTTCCCTGGTGACTTCAGAATACTACAGGCGCCAGGTTCCATTCGTATCATCTGCTCTGGATCCTATGATCCAGGGAGGAAAATGCCATTCGCCCCCATGAAGTGCTGCTTGGTGAATAGTGACCGGTGATGGCAATAGAAATACCCGGAGGCTGTGACTGTCGCCATGTCAGGCCAGCAAGGCACCAGGAGTGAAGGCCAGCAAGTGGGTGCAGGCAGCCCCAGGCCTTCCCAGGCTGGCAGCTGGGATTCCGACTTCGGTTCCTGCCCCAGGTGAAGCGGGCTGAAAGTGGATGTGAGAGCAGTTTCAAGAACTAGAAGTCAGATGGTGGGCAACAATGAGTGGCTTCCATTTTGGAACTGAAATAACTCCAAATCTTTCTCTTCTACTTTGGGACCACATGAATACTGTGTCATTATTTTAGTTTACTGAGTTGCTGTTCCAAATGTTCTTGGGAGCATTAGTGCTAAAAAGGAACAGGGATGGAAGCTCTGCTATTTTCAATCACATAAAGGACAGAAATCCTCTTAATTATGACCATGCCAATCTACATCCTGCTAAAACAGCTAATTACATGTCAGGAGGACACTCAGTCATTCAGAACAATTGCCATTATATTTTTATATATTCATTCTATGCCACCCCCCTCAATTACCATGGTTACAATTTGAAGAGATTCAGCCAAACCTTCATTTGATCACAGCACACCAATGTGAATTTGTGAGTTAATTATGGCTGAAAACAGCCAGTCTTATTTAAAAGAGAGAAAATGAAAATGGAGTCAGGGAAGCTGCCCTCCCAGGACTTCCCAAGCACATACCAAGCTGCATGTGCTCCTGCTGCCCACTGCCAAGGCCACTGCACTGAGGTTCAGACTCTGGGCATGAGGACTGCTGCTGAGACTGGCCACAGAAAGGGGGCGTCAGCAGAGGACAGCCGCAAAGCTTCCTCTGCTGATGTGTCCTGCTGTTGTTGGGGCTGATGGGTGTGGGATGTGCACGATAAACTTGCATATTGCAGAAAGACCAGTCAGGTTTCACCCCAATGAGATCAGCTAGAGTTAGTTCTGCCCAAATGTTAAGAATAATGAAAGAAAGTCCCAGGACCTGCACATTTGCAATGCCAAGACATCTATACATAGTCAGTGAGATGAGAAGGGGGTGCAGTCAGACCGTCCCTCACTCCCCTATTGATTGCAAAAGAAACTGGTATCGGAAACTCTATTTCTCATATTGTCAACTTTCTTTCTGTTGTGATTTCTCATCCCCACAAAGAAAGAATAATAGAATGGATTCAGAAAATTCTCAATTTACAAACTTCCAGCTTCTGAAGGTACCTAGATAGGAACGAAGTTGCACTCCTGGGAGGCGAGTCAAACATCAGTCCTGTAGGAGGCAAGGACAGGGCTTCTCACTTCCAGTTTGTAGAGAAAGGGCACTGACAATGGCCTTTCTGAATATACCCTGTGTGTGCAGAGGAGTTTGAGTCAATAGAAAACTGGTGTGTTGGTGTGCTGCACCTCAACAGGCTTTGCTGCTGCTGTTGTATGTTAGTTCTCTTGAGAGCGATAAGGAGATCTCTCTTCTTAAGTGATAGGCATCTTTGAATCCAAAAGTGAATAATGAAGAAAACCACAAAACAGAAAAAGAAAGGGCCTCTGCTCTGACAGCACGCTACCATGAAATCCTCAGAAATAAGCTGGCCACTCACAGTTCCTTCCCAGGAAATCTTCCACTCCCATCAGGGTACACACTACCTTCAGGCTACGTTAAGCCAGACACTATGGAAATGAAGAAACTGTAAGTGAAGAAACAGTTTTCAGGGCACGAGCTAAGTTTGCCAAAACCAATATGGCTGACGAGTGATCCTGAGTAAACATCCTTGCTATTTAAAGAGCACACAGAAAAAGGAATGCTGTACACATGAAACACCCACTCCTGCCCTCGACCTCCCGCCCCACTCCCATTGCCCTGAAGACACCACCAGCAGAGCTGGTCAATGCGCCCAACTTTTACTTGGAAAAACTTGAAAATAAATCTGGCTCAGTAAAGCTATAAATGGACCTGGCTGGTCTTGATGCAGCCCCAATGAATACAGTAGTCAAACATCACTAAAAATCACAACAAAAGGAAAGAAATCTACCACCACTCCGGCTTAGGATTTTGATCACAAAGATTAACATGAAACCAACACAAAACGTAGGAGGTCATAACTATTAAATGTGGAGAACTACTGAACACAAGATCATCAACCACAAGGAAAATTATTGCCTAAGAATCTGTGAGACTCACTGGGAAAAAAAAATACTCTGGTTGTTCTCTAAACAAAAGATAAAAGGCAATTTTAAAAGGCAGAGCCATAAGCTAAAAGGGAAGACTACTTCTAATCAAATCCTCCTTAGGATCAAAGGGAAAAAGGGCTTCAAGTTCACATTTCTAGGACAGGGTGGGCAGTTGTTTGGGGAATAGAACTCAATTCCACTGTTGTGGGCAGACATCATGAAGCTGGCCATCACAGGAGGGGTCTGTGTTCAGAGATGGGTGAACCACCCACTTTGCCTGTGGCCAGAGGATTAACAGTTCTAGTAAAGTCAACTCAAGATGAGGGCACCATGGTAGAACGCTTAGAAAATGGAAGAGGAGCTATTCAGAGACAGGAAGTGGCAGATTATTGACTGAGAGTCYATTATACTTGGTGCCTGATGATTGGTATCCAAGAGGCAAGTTTTTAAAATCAAGATTCCCTAAAGACAAAGGCCAAATAGGTAGAATTGAAACAACCTCAGTGACTTCTTCATGTGTTATCCCCTTTGAGGTAAAAATATATCCAGACATCTGGACCTAAAATGAGTATTGTTGAATCATAAATCTTTCAGGAACTGGAGGACTGGATTTGTGTAACTCAGTATTAATGATCATCCTCTTTCAAGTCTTTTGTGGGGTTACTTCTACTGAGTTGGGGTGAAAGGTACTTTAAACTGGGCTCCTTGCTTGTCTGTCCCAGGTGTCCTTTTCCTGTGATGGGGCACTTAAAGGACAAAAATTGGGAAGAAATTTGTTTTATGGGGTACTTCTACATTATATGTTATGCTGAAAGAGACTGTCTACTTAGTGTTGAATGGTGCTAGAAAGCCTAGGTAAGAGTGTATTTCCTGTGTCCCCTCGCCTGCTTCCATCTGCTAGTAAGGTTATCCACAGGCAGATGGTCCATCTTGAAAAGTCCCCATGTCCAGTGTTTCAGGAAGGAAGGGAAGTCTACCCATCTGACCACAGTCATCCGATTAAAGTATCTAAAAAATAACAAAGGACAAACCACATGAATACTTGGCTGGCAAGGTCACCTCACACCTCACTGTTAAGAGTCTTCCTCAACCAGGAAGAATAGTCCCTGAAAGAGCCCCCTGGGGCCTGGAGAAATACAGACGGAGATGAAAGCAGGGGCAGAGACACTGAGAAGTGTGAGTTTGAAGAGCCTGGCTCCTTTCCCTTTAGTAATAGAGCACTGTAGGGTTTCTATTTTAATACCACATCTAAAACCTGAAAAAAACTTAAGAAAATATTTACCATCCAAAGATACTAAAAATCAAACAGTGGCAGCTCTATTTGCCATTATAAGAACTAAAGGTGGTCTGGACAAGATAGCCAAAGTGAACCTGGAGACAAACAGAAATCCGATGGTATATTTCAATCTTAACCCCAAAGAAGGAACTTTTTCTTCTTGGTGAAAAGCAAAAGTCCTAGATAAGGCATGGGCTATGCAGCAGGCAGCCCTCCCCAGCCTTCCTCCACAGTCCCACCCCCAGGGTGCCTGCCACCTCACTGTCACCACACTCCAAGACAGGGTCCGCATTGCCTACACACTGCCAGCTCCACCATATTCTCCGACATCTCTTTGCTTCTTTTAAGGCCTTGAAACAATGAAGCATTCTAGCTCTTTCTATGGCAATCACTGAATTTCTTTAGAAACTGCAGCTGTCTTAGCAGTTTGGGTCTGTTCCTTTAAAAAGGCAAGAACAGATGACACAGGAATCCCATCGTAAAGAAGCCATCAATTACAATAATCTCCCCACAATAAATCATGGAAGTAGCTTGTCAGAGAATACATTTCTTTCTCCCCTTGTTTTTTCTGACTCAACTGAGAATAAGCCAAAAAAAAAAAAAAAAATCCACTAAAAAGGAAAGATACAACATATTTCTTCTAAAAAGAAAATAAAGCCAACAAAATCTCCCAACTGAAATAAGTCAAATAAACCAAGAAAGAATATGACTAGGTGTGGTGGTGGTGGGCTCATTCCTGAGAATAATAAATGCTACTCTTGAATTTGTTGGTTCAAGTAACACAGTAAGACAGAGAAGACTGCTCAGTTTTACTTGAATTCTTGGAAGCTGGGAGAAAAAGTGCATATATTTTCCCCACGGGCAGGACCAGGCCCTACTGCAGATCTTTAAAGTCACAGACTAGGTAGATGGCATTCTAATGCCCTCACAAACTTCTTCATACTTACATATAAGCAGGATTTACCGCTAAGGGGAGGACCTGTCAGTGTATGTCTTAAGTGGAGTGAGACCAGCTAACAACTGGCAGATATTCAAAATCCCACAAACGAGAGGGGGAAAACAAGGACAAAGTCAGGAATCTTTCTTCTCTCTCACTTCGAATACATTTGGTGAGGGAGGAGGGAGAAGGGGAAATGGCACCTTCCTTCCATCTTAGAAACTGTTTCTAGATAATGGTAGAGACACAAGCCTTGCTCAACGCCAGCCCACACACCCCTTTAAACAAGGCTTAGATATATGAAGACATATGAAGGAGACGGAATGAGGCAGAAAACACACAGCCATTGTGCCTCTTTCAGAYGCACCCTACCCTGCCACTGAAGGCTCTTTCTTCTCACCCATAGTGACAGTGTGTCATTTAATCGAGACGCCAGGAGATCACTTTCATACAAGGCCAGCAGATGTAATTTTCTTTGATGCATGAATAGTTCATCATTTTGCTACTGGATGACAAGGTGATCACAGGGTGACTTTAAACGCAAGTTCACTGTTTGGTATTTTGAGTTCTCAAAATGAAAAAAGATTTATCAAATATAAATATCTTTAAAAAGTAACAAAAGTGCTACATATGTGATCAAGGAAAAAAATTCCATTAGTTACTGCTGCTTAAAGTAGATTAAACTTTACAAATATTACCACATCCATTATCAATATGGCTTCCAATTATTAAATAAATTGCCTGTAGCAATATAGCTTTTCATACCTCTACAAGGACAGAGTAAAGAGAACAACAAAGCAGTTACATCCCATTGTATCTTGCACACTCACAATGTAAATGGTAAATGTCCCCTGCTTTTTTCGCTCTATTTGGGCAAGTTTTTGCATCTGTGATAGTCAGCACAATCCCCTACAAAGTCCTCTACTGACTCAGATTGAGGGGCTTCTGTTAATGGATACAAAGACTACGTTCTTTCACTCATCTTTGACCTTAGCTCCATCTGTGAAAGACTTTTTTTGGTAGCAGGGAAAGGGGACACCAATAGGAGGAAAGCAACTTCCACGATAACCTCCAAGACTTTTCCAGGCAGGCACCGAGAACTGTGCTGCGGAATGTACAGTGGTTCAGAGAGCTGGACTTAACATCCCTCGGACATTCGGCTCATACTGCTTTCAAGCTGGGTTTTGTTTTTTTTTGTAACTTTTTTGTCTTTTTGTTTTGTTTTAAATCATGGTCCCAAAGGCAGAAGGCAGTATTTTATCTACTAAGTCACACAGCTTGTGAGAGGAAAGGATGTCTGTGTCAGGCATGTTAACATCAACCAAAATCTGAGATCGAGTTTTCCATTGACATTCTTAGCACAGCACCCAAAGAAGTATAGTCTAGCCACAGTGTGACTATAATGAGGCACGGCTTATTGCAGCTGAAATCAGTGATTCTCACACTGAGGTGGGGGTTCTAGTGTTCCTTTCACTCTGTGCATACTCCCCAAATGGTGTCTGTCAATCCTGTGCCACTACCTCAGCTTGCATTCTACCAATCTTGGGGAAGGAAAAGGGGGTACAGACTAGTGTTACATGAATCTAAAGGTACCCAAGATTTTACACACAGCCTAATATTTGAAAACTGAGGGCTATCTAAATACCTGGAAGCACTTTTGTGGAATGCTAAGACGGAGCAGCAAGATTTTCTAGCCTCAGGGGCTGGGAGAGGGAGTTTGGTTGRTTGGTTGGTTATTATTTACTGGGAATTAATACTGAGAGAGTATATGCAAAGGCTGAGGGCACCATGCCATCTTCACAGAACAAGACCCTAACGGCTACCTGACATACAAGAAACTGCAAGTTATACTGTAAGAACACATGTTAAGGACTGAGGAAAGTCTGCTAAGGTGCTACGTCTAAACTAAGTTAACTTGTCATGTTTAACCCTCCCTGATTAGTCATCATCCAGGGCCTCTGTCTTGATTTCGTTGGCTCCTTGTCGGGCCAATGCCAAGATAGTATGGTTCACTGCTGCCATTTCCACAGCTAATGAGATGGGGTCTTGGTGGTCACTATGGCTCGTGCTGTCATCCTAGATGTGCAGAAATAAGAAATGAATGTTATCAGTTGACTGGTGCTGTGCTCTAGCTCACAGAGAAGCATGCAGGGGCCGGGGAAACAGAACACTTGTGGAGGACATGGTTGGGAAGCATCTCATATCAGAGTAGAGGTGAACTGTATTTAAGTAGACACTGAATGGATATAGTTTCAGAGACTTCCAGTTGACATTTTTATGACTCATCCAATAAAAATAACTAAAAGGTTTTGTTCTCACTCAATTTTATTCATTCTATCAAAAAAATGGTTAGTAGTGATCAAACCTGGACTGATTGATTAAAAACCCAACAATTTGGATCTGTATGCAACAAATATAGCACTAGTCATTGAAGGACACACTAGTGAGTTTTTAAATTCCTGATTGCTACTCATAGATTATTAGAATCCATGTAAACAAGACTTAAAACAACAGGCACCAACATCCTATAGATAAAAGAAGAAAAATCTCAGTTACAACAGGACAAAAGTGCCGTGGCCTGAACTGGCTCAGGGAGAAAGTAGCTGAAAGTAGCTGTGGAAAGGGAGTGGGTGTCTAACTTAGAGTGAGTTGAAGCTCTTCTCCCTTGAAGCACAACACTTAAACAGTAAAGCTGTGAAGAAAACTGGTGCAGCARGGTGCATGTCAGGCACTGAAAACAATGTCACAAGGAAGGAGGATGTTTCTCACCCTCACATCTTCAGGGGAACTCTGTATCACAGAGCTTTGGAAGGGTAAACCCATTGGGAAAAAAGCATGGGATGTGCTGCCCTCAGAGCATCTGCAAAAAAAAAAAGATGGAAATGATCCCTCTTTATTGGTCTACTGAAAAATAACAGGAACGTTTCTAACTAGAAAGACTTAGAGAACATTCTTCTGAATAAAAGGTGGGGCTATGACTTGGAGTCCTTAAAAGGCAACCCTGAGATGTGTGGTGTTACTGTTTCACTCTCATTTCACATATTAGTCTTCAGGATTAAGGCAGGGGTCCACGGAAAACAGCACGCGCTCTTGAGTACCTTGTGGGCTTGAGCTGGTAAGCAGAGTCAGTAAACCAGCCAGGAGAAGGAAGAACACGATGGACTGCTTACTAACTGGCTGAGGGGCAGGGAAAACTGCCACAGGAAAGAGCAAAAGTTTTCTTGCTGGGTTRGTAGAAGGGAAGGGACCATATATTCTCGACATTTTCAAAATGGAAATGAAACTTAAGTCCTATTAAAATTTTTTGATGAAATCTGTCAACACATAGGTGTGGGGGGGACTCCCACAGTCTTAGTTACTGAATTAYTCCATGCAGTGGCTACAATTAAATACACGTTTCCCCAAGCAATGCAGAATAAACCACACTGGTGAGTTCCCATACATGTGAGATGAAAAGACATGCAGATGGTGTACTTATGAGAGGATGCGTGTGTTACTGTGCCAGAGAGACTGTGGAGAAACAGCTCCTCTGGCATGAGGGCTCCAACGGCAATGGGGCTGGAGTGGTGGGGCCTTCCATTGCGCCCTGCGTCGGTACATGTTTAGGCATGGGTCACACAGCTGCCCAGTTGCCCCTAGTACTTCTCAAAAACACTGAGTGTGTGTGGTGAATGGTGTAACTTGCTTGTTTGGATCAGATCCTCCTCTCTTCTTCTACCTTCTCTGCTTCTCTGCCTCCCTCTGAACTTCTTCCCTCCTCCTCCTCCCCATTGCGTACTTGCCAAGTATCCTGTTGTATGACAATAAATCCATGTGGGTGAATAGCGATTTCTCACAAATTCAACAGGACAACTGAATCTTACCACATTCCTTTCAAATTACATGAAATTCTATCTAGACACGTGAGCAGAATGGAGGGACACTGACTGCTTCCCCTCCCCCACCCCACACCACCACACCCCAGGATCTAAGTTGTCCTCACACTGTCCCACTGCTCACTAACCAGGAACCTTGGCCCAGGTGCCAGCTGCTCACCTGCTCGGAGTAGTCATTCCCGTCAACATCATCACTGTTGGAATGGCCTCCTGGACTCTGTACATCTATCCCATGGCTCTCCAGGATTGCTGCTTCTTCGAAAAAAGCAAATAGATCCCTAAATTATCTGCTGCCTTATCACAGTGGCTGAAACACAATTAATTTTCATGTTGAGGAAATTGGAATATCATTAAACGAGAGCCTACAATTCATCAACATTTTGTTTCTTTTGAACTACAAGTRGGTGGAAGCCAACAGCATGCAGCTCAGAGAGATGCACATTTGCCATCCTATTGTCCCTGCCACTAGCATGTCATGTGGTCCACCCTGATTCATAAAACTTGTTAACTGGTCTTGAGGTCCTACAGAACATCACAGAGTTGGGATGATGAACAGGAAGTGTATGTCTAAACGAAATACAATTTTAGAAGTGCAAAACCAATCTCCTATCCCAATCTCATCAATTAAAAAAATTATTTTTCTTATTTTGGTTACAGCTTTGATCGGGGAAAGAAATGCTTTATTTCTTCCTTTTTCACTTTAGCTCAGGGGCAGGGTGCTTGCCTAGCATGTATAAGGCCCTGGGTTCAATCCTTAGCATCACATAAAAATAAACAAAATAAAGGCATGCTGTCCATCTAAAACTACAACAAACAAATAAATAAATATACAATGAGAAAAAACAGGGTGATTTTTATTAGGATCATTTAGACCTGCAGTTAATAAACTGAAGTCACTCTTAAACACAATGTTTGTAACTTCCTCATGAGAGAAAGCAGTCTCTCTGATACATTACCGATATTGGCTCTCCTCTTGATCTCCTTCCGTCTGTTAGCAAACCAATTATATACTTTCAGGGAGGTAACTCGTTCCAGATCGGACAATTTTTTGCCTGTGAATGCATGCAATAAAATTCAGATAATCTATATCTTGGACCCAAGAACGAACTAGTTTTAAGGGATAATACTTTTCTTCTTTAAAAGTTGCTTTTGATTCCATTTATTGTCAAAATAACAGCAGGGAGAATCTTTTTTTTTTTTTTTTTTTTTTAGCATGACCTAGTACCATGTGCACACTAAAATTATTATGAAATGAATAAAGACACACATGAGTACATAACTAGCAACTAATAATACAATGTGCTTCTTTATATAATATGCTTTGATTCATAAGGGCAAACATAATAGTAAATAATTCCACAAAGTCAGTATATTAGGGTGCTAGATTCAAAGTTCTTATGATAGTACTGTGGAGGCTTCATTTAATTAGCATCATTCCAGGGAATGTTGTTATTATTTATCAAGTGTCTAAACAATCGAAATTTACTTACATCTTTAAGGCCTTCATTATTAATTATTTTCTTCCTGTCTTAAGACCAGGAATATATGACACATGCTTCCTTGAAGGCTAAAGGCCACTGTGACCATGCATTACTGTGACTACACTGGAATACACAGTATCACTCAGGCTGCATTTCAGACTTACTATTTTCTTTGGTTTGAATGTAATTTTTTATAAAAAGTACTATGCTTGCCAATAAGGACCCACCTGTACCATTCCCTTCTCTCCTGTCCATTTCCGTTTTTCAGCTTTAAGTCCACAGTGGGTGGAGAAACCAGAAAACAGATTTGTTAGGGTCTTGGTGATATATGGGTACAGTGTTTTCCAGGGAGAGTTCAAGTACCTGCAAAGCTTTAGGACTAGGACTTTTGGCTTATGTAAAAAAGGGTACAGATTCCTCTCACTTACATACAGTTGGAGCTGTTATAGTGTGGCTAGAAGTCTGGCTTCATTGTCATATTGATTGTAGTAGCAAAAATTGGAAATTATGCCCAAYTGTCCATTAACAGAAGGGAAAATAAATTACTGCTTCATTGTTATAAGACATGGATACATTAGCATATAATCTTTAAGCCATTCAAAGTAACTGGCCAAATGGAAATCAATTAGATAACCTTAACTGAGAATGGTTTTTGGTAACAAAAATCTGTAAAACGTGAAATAGTCAAGTACATGGAATAAAATACTTATGAAGGATTTAAGTGGCTCCATTGACTTGCACAGAAACAACAGGACTTTAAAAGGGTGTTACCTAAGTTTTTCCTAAGCAGAAGTCRTCCCAACGTGGGGAGGAGACAGGAGCCAACTCAAAAAGGAATACAGAATCACACAATGTATAACAATTGTTTTTAAAAAAGAAAAATCTATCTAATCTTTTTATTAGCAAGCTTATTTAAATATTTCAAACTGTAAGTTCATTTTGGACTTGATATATTTATGCTAAATTTTGGAAAGAAAAATCTATACATAAAATAAAAAATTTTTCAAGGTCTCAAACCGTTTGCAGGGTCTCTCCCTGGAAATTCCAGTGTATGTGAGCATTTGATTCTGAATGCCATAATATCCCTCAGAAGTACTGTTTGGACAGGACAAGACAAGGCAGTGACCTGCAGAAGGATGGCACAGGCTGAGCAGAGAGCATTGACTTGAAATGAGTCGGAGATGCAGTGGCCTAAATGATGTAGCATAACAAGAGCAGCACACAGAGCAGCCTGGGCTTGGCCCTCACCTGGCTTCTGGATAACTGCATTGCAAGCATTTGCAATTTCTTCTCTCTTTGCTTCATCTGGGTATTGATTCTCATTGAAGTAACTGCAGAGGCAACCAATAAAGACACAATCTTTTTACTTTTCTAAATGTGCTCTCATAAAAACACTAACTCATTGAAAAACATGTTCTTCCTTAAAATGTACCATTCAAGTGTCTAGTTCAGGTGGTCTTCCAGAATTTTCTGTAGAATAGAAATGGACTCTTGTAGGCTGTTCGGTATGGCAGCCACTACACATGACTACTGAGCATTTGAAATGAAGCTAACGTAAGGGAAAGAATTTTAACTTTTACTTAATTTTAACTAATTAAACTTATATAGCTCTATGTCACCTAGTGCCTAGCCTATGGTACAGCAAAAGTGCACACACTGCTGTATTTCATTAAAAGATGTCATCAATATAAAAGTGATTTTTGATATGTATGAGTGATTACAGTCACAATGCCCAGGACTTTTTTTTTTTTTTTTGGTCATATTGTTTGTAGTAGCAAAAACCTGGAAATTATGCCCATTAACAAAAGAATGGCAGAAAAAATTATGGAATATTTATATTTATACACAGCTATTTAAAAATGACTAGAGAAATAAGTTAGCACTCTGTCCACTGACTTGGAGGGATGTTTATGACATATTTCTTTTCTTTTCTTTTTTTTTAAAGAGAGAGAGAGAGAGAGAGAGAGAGAGAGAGAGCGAGAGAGAGAATTTTTTTAGTTTTTGGCGGACACAACATCTTTGTTTGTATGTGGTGCTGAGGATCGAACCTGGGCTGCACGCATGCCAGGCGAGCATGCTACCGCTTGAGCCACATCCCCAGCCCAATTTTATGACATATTTCTAAGTGCAAGAAACAATCTGCAGAATAATATGCATGCAAAATTATTATTATCAGAATTTTAAAATTCCAGTCTATGTATACACCAATTTGCATGGATAAAAGCTGGAAAAATATACATTAGCCTGAAAATACTAATTATTCATTGTGGGGAAAAGGGTTTAGTAGGAGGATATTTAAACATTTTCTTTGCATTTTTCTTATGTTAAAAAAGTAGGTTTATATTTTTCCTATGTTAAAAAAGTAGGTATTATTTTTGCTCAATAGTACTTTTAAAGGAATTTAGACTTGCTACATCTACCCTTTTATCAGACCCATGAGACACTCTGTGGGAACAGAATGCTTATTATTATTTCTACTCTTTCTATCATCTATGAGTTTTGAGAAACAAGAGAATATTCCCAACTTAAGCCTGGAAATGTAGGATAAGGAAATGACCCCTTATCAAATTCTAGTACCTACTATTTCTTTAGGGACACTGCTGCAAAAATACCCTGGAGTAGTACCCCCACACCCACCCAAACCTCCCAAGTCTGACTGCTGCTGACCCCTGCTCTGTCCAGCTTTCTCCATGATGGCACCTTGACCACCCTCCCCACAGTTTCCTTCTGAATCCTATGGTTTAAGCATATTTTCCTGCTTGATTTCCTGCTATCATTTTCAGGCCCACTGTTCACTCTGAGGATTTTCCCAAGTCACTATCCTTGTAACTGCTCCATTTCTACACATAGGACTTGCGGACAGTACTGTGCAGAGTGTAACAGGCAGGAATCTGAAAAGACATCCAGAGGAGTGCTGAGTTGAGCCCTGAYGATGGGCTAAGCTACTTAGAGCTTCGCTTGACTATTCAGAAGTTTCCAAAAGTTTATGGGAGGCTGAGTCTCCCCTCACAGTAACTTTGCATCTTGATCTGCTGCTGCTCCCATAGCCTAGAAAAATGGAACAACCTTGTAAAGACTGCATTACTGTGCTTTCTCTTGCCAGTACATCTGTTTTTTGCCCTTCCCCCAATGTAAATCTTGCCTATATTTCAGGGTACAGATCAAATATTCACTCTTGGCCAGTCAAGCAAATTTTCTTTACCTTATGAATCCCACAGCACCTCATCTGTTCCTATCTTACAACTCTTTCAATTTGTATTATAGTTACCATTATATGCATCTTTTTTTCTTCTATATAGAAAACCACGAGGTCAGAGTGCAAGTCTGAATCAACATTCCTCCTTGGCACAGTTGACAAAGCAATAATGATGGACAGAATCACCACCAACCCAATGTGGGGCTTCCAAAAGAAATGACATCACAGTCTGTGAACTGCTGTCAACTGAAAGTACAGAAATGTTACAAGGCAGGTTTTGAAGGATACATACTAAAATGTTAGGAATTATTATCTCTGGGGAGCAAGAAGGTTAGGAGTAGAGGAGACATAAGGGAAACACTGGTGGTAATTAAGATTGATTTTCACATCCTACTTTGTATACTTATCTATTGAATTTCTTTTAAAAATGTGCTATTTTTGCGCCCGTCTAGCATGCGAGCGGCCGGCCCGAGTTCGATCCTCAGCACCACATACAAACAAAGATGTTGTGTCTGCCGAAAACTAAGAAATAAAATGTTAAAATTCYCTCTCTCTCTCTCTCCCCTCACTCTCTCTTTAAAAAAAAAATGTGCTATTTTTCATAATTTTCTTGTTAATTAAAGATATTTGAGGAAACACTGAAATAATTAAGAACTAGCTTATTGAATAATACAACTCTGTAAACAACTTATGTTTTGAAAGTTTTGGATCAGATAGAAAACATTAAGATTATGATTGCTGTTATAAAGACTAAAAAGATAAAGCCATATTTTTGCAAGCTAAATTAGAAATTGCAATTATTTGTGTTATGTGTTTTATACTGCATTAAAAAGTATTAAATTTTATTTTTAATCTGTAATTTTTCAGGATCTAASTATATAAAATAAAGAAGATGGAAGCAAAAAAATAGTAACTTTTTCTAAATTTAAAAGCTCAAGAAAATGCAGTTATTCACAATAGTTTCTCTAGGACTAATAAAGACCTACTGTTATGATTACTCTTAAAAAATATTTTTTAGTTGTAGATGGACACAATACCTTTATTTTATTTATTATTTTTTTGTGGTGTTGAGGATTGAACCCAGTGCCTCATTCGTCTAGGCAAGCATTTTACCACTGGGCCACAACCCCAGACCAACAACCTATTATTTTTTATAACTAAGAAATGTACAGCTCAGTTTCACTTCTAAATTCTAACAAATATTTAAAGAACTAATATCAATTCTTAAATTATTCTAAAATATTGAAGAAGAGGGAATTCTTCTAAACTCATTCTWCAGAGCCAGCATTGCCCTGGTACCCAAACCAGAAAAGGACACCACATAGAAAGAAAGCTATAGGCCAATATCCTTGATGAACATAGGTGTAAAAATCTTTAAGAAAATACTAGCAGGGCTGGGGTTGTGGCTCAGTGGTAGAACGCTCGCCTGTCATGCGCGAGGCCCTGGGTTCGATCCTCAACACTACATAAAAATAAATAAACAAAATAAAGGTATTGTGTTCAACTAAAAAATAAATAAATATTTTAAAAAAAGAAAATACTAGCAAACTGAATCTAACAGTACATTAAAAAGATTATTCACTATGATCAAGTGGGATTCATTCTAGAAATGCAAGGATGGTTCAACACATGCAAATCAGTAAACAGACCTAAAACATAAACAGGATGCAGGAAAAATCTTGATAACAGATGATAAAAAGAATTTAATAAAATCTAACATTTTTTTCATTATAAAAATCTGAACAAATGAGATGAGAAAGGAATACATTTCAACACAATTAAGGCCATTTATCATAAGTTAACATTGTACTAATAAGGAAAATCTGAAAATTTTCTCCATAGGATCTGGAACAAGACAAGAATGCCCACTTTTATCCAACACAGTACTGGAAGCCCTATACAAAGCAGTCAGGCAAAAGGAAGAAATTAAGTGCATCCAAAGAGGAAAAGAAGAAGTCAAATTATCTCTGCAAATGACATAATATTGCATATACAAAACCCCAAAGACTCCACCAAAAAGCTCAGAACTAATGAATGAATTCAGCAAAGCTRCAGGTTAAATAATCAATGTACAAAAATCAGTTCTKTTGCTATATGCCAATATAGAATTATCTAAAAGGGAAATCAAGAAAGCAACTCTATTTACAACAGGGGGAGGGAGGGAGGTGATAAATTAAATCAAAGAGGTGAAAGATCTCTACAATGAAAACTATGAAACCCTGATGAAAAGAAATTGAAGAAGACATCAAAAATGGAAAGTCATACTATGATCAATATTGTTCAAATATCGGTACTACTCAAGGCATTCTACAGGTTCAACACAAACCCTATCAAATTACCAACAATATCCTTCACAGAACTAGAAAATACAATACTAAAATTTGTATGGAACCACAATACACCTCAACTAGCCAAAGAAATCTTGAGTGAAAAGAAAAAAGCAGGAGATAGTATACTACCTGACTTCAAACGATACTTCAAAACTACAGTCATAAAAACAGAATGACAGGGGCTGGGGATGTGGCTCAAGCGGTAGCGCACTCGCCTAGCGTGCATGCGGCCTGGGTTCGATCCTCAGCACCACATACAAACGAAGATGTTGTGTCCGCTGAGAATTAAGAGAAAATAAATAAATGTTAAAATTCTCTCTCTCTCTGTCCCCCTCTCTCTCTCACTCTCTCTTTAAAAAAAAAAAAAAAAACAGAATGACAGTGGCATAAAACAGAAACTGAGTCCAATGGAACAGAACAGAAAGCCTAGAAGTAAACCCACTCATCTATAATCAATTGATCTTCAACAAAGGTGCTAAGAACATGCATTGAAGAACGAAGTCTTTTTGATAAAGCGTGGTGGGAAAATTGGATATCCACATGTAAAAAAATAGAGAACCCTATTTCTCATGTTTCAAAAATCAACTTGAAATGGGTTAAAGACTTAAATATACAACATGAAACTACTAGAAGAAAATAAGAAAGTTTGTCTAGGCATTAGAACAGACAAGAAGCTTATGGACAAGTCCCCAAAAGTACAGAAAACAGAAGTAAAAAAAAAAAAAAAGACAAATGGAATTACATCAAACTAATACGCTTGTGTGCAGCATAAACAACAATCAACAGAATATAGAAACAACCTATA